GACCTTGAAACCCTGGGCGCGTGCGTTGCGGAAACCCTGCGTTTCTGCCATCTGGAATCTGGAATCTAGCTTTGGTGTCACCACGCGACGTCAGCACCGTTTACGTCAACAAACCGTCGAATAGAATTAGATTCAGATCTCCAAGCCGCATTACGAGCACGCATGCAACGCTCGGTACTCCGTACACAGCTCACAATCATCCGAGTGAGGCCCGTTTCCGATCGACTCTTGTCTGCAACTGCCTTTCCCTTCCCCTTGCTTCCGAGTTACGTCCGCTCTCGCATCGGAACCATTATATCCTCTGGGTCTCAGGCATTTTAGAATCTTTGTCAAGGTTCAAAACGCCGCTTCAATTGGTAATACAAGTGCTCGTTCTCAAGCCAACGTGCGCCATTCGTTTGACCCGCTACCTGGACTATCATCCGCAACCACCTTTTAGACAAAGAGCCCAGATTTTTGCGCCTTTGCGTCTGCCTGACCGACCGTCTCGTCCACTTGCAGCTTGCCCTGCACGCCGTGTTTGTCGCCACCCTCTGGCATTTATCTCGCTTCCTGCAGTCTCAGTACCAGCACTCGGCCCAACGTGCCTGCAGGGCTGTGATTTAATTCGGTCAATGCTGTTTTGCGCAACTCTGTCCCTTGCCTGTGCCTGGACAGGGGGGTTTTGCGCCTGCAACGTGCTGGCACGGACGCTCAACGATATTCGCCAAATTGTTCTGGCAAGGAAACACTGCTTCGTTCTTCCTTATATTGACTATTACGGAGTAAGGAACTGGCGGATTCCCTGTGCTTCTGCCAATCTTGCCTACTTTCTCAACCGTTGTCGTTTCTCAGATTCCCAACACTATCTTTTTTTTTCGCCTTGGGTGTATAATCAGTCAAGACCCTTGGGCTTGACTTGCATATTGTCATATTCTACATTTTTTCTTTGCACTCACGAATGGCCCTGGAGGCATATTTCCCGTTGCGTCAATTGAAATTTTTTTTTTTGACCTTTGCCGAGCTACGCTGTCTAACGTCTTTGTTGGATACAACAATATTCCGCACTGCAATCGTCTTTACATATCTGGGTCGGTTTGGCACGCCAATTTTCGCCCAACTCCAAGAGAAGAGGATAGTACCTTTCACCCTGCTGTGCTCCCGTTACGCTCAATATGCTGCTTTGTCCCTCTTTTCATGTGAAGTCCTTCGATTGGACTCACGCCTGAGATAGGCCAATACTTACAGCACCCGAAGTGGCCGTGCCCCGGCACCGCTTTCCTACAACCAGGAAAACAAACACACACTTTCCATTTATCGACTCAGAGTCCGTTTCGACGTCGTTGTGGCGCAGCTACACCGAATCAACATCTTTGAGCACGAAGAGATCGTGGACGACGCCCCCGTCTTGTCACCTAAGTTCTTCCTGCAAAGACTAATACCCGGTTGCCACTTCCTTACGACCTCTTACATCCGTCCCTCCAAACTTCATATATATTACACTTTTACCAACCTCGCTCATTCATCATGTTCCAAACTACTCTGTCCTACGTTTGGGGCCAGCTGAAGGCTGCCAAGCCTGCGTTTCTCTCCAAGAAGCCCCATTTCAGCTTCATCACTGTTCACTGTATGTAACACAAACTCACCCCTCCCCCTCCTTTCCCCCAGTATTTGTTGAAGTAAGAGTCGATTTACTGACTTCGATAAACCTGGAAGACTTCTGGATTATTGGGGCAACCATCGTCGGCTCCATTGCCATGTTTGTGGGGGGCAAGGGCGAATTAGCTTACATTGATGCGTTGATGTTTGCTAGTGGTGCGAATACGCAGGCTGGGTTAAACCCTGTCGACGTGAACCGCCTTAATGGATTCCAGCAAGCTATGATATATCTGTTCTCCGTGACGTCAAATCCCATCACTCTTCATGGCTGTGTGGTATTTCTGCGTCTATACTGGTTTGAGAAACGTTTTCGAAGCTGGGCACGGGAGATTCGATCTCGACGACGAACTCTGACCAAATCAAAGTCAGAAGCCCGAAATGATGCACACCTCGCTGAACAAGGTGTTAATGGTCGAGACATCACGCTCATGCCACAAAATGGCCGAAAACAGAGGATCACGAATGACGGTATTCTGCTGGACGATGCCCATGAAACCCAACACAACGCTGAAGTTGCCAATAAGAGTGATGAAAGCGACACCACAACCGCCACAGATGATCAACCAAAGCTAACTGAGCCCAGCCCTCTGGAGAAATCAGATGACTCGCCCCAAGAGCATGGAGCAGGTGAAAGTCGCAGGACTAGCCTTCCAGGCCACACGGCTATCACTTTTGCAGACACTGTCAAAAGAAGCGACGGCTTAGGTGATGAGGGAACCAAGTTTCCTCAAAGACGAACGAATGCAGAGCACATTGCAATTCTAGAGAGACAGCGCAACCAAGACGATGATGAGGTCCTTCGCATCCCTGGCCCGCGCGATGCAGAACGTGGGTTAGGACCCAGGCGACTTGAAGCAAGTGATATGGATGAAGATGATAATAGACTTGCACGTTCGCCGACAGCAGAAACCATCCCAGGCGGCGCCGCTCAACCAGGACGTATCCGCGAACGACAGTCAACAATCGTCATTGCCGAACCTGAGAAGCATCATCGCCGGGAAGAGATGGAAGAAAAGGCCAAAGCAATTGGCGGTACCATGGATGCCCTGAGATTTCGCAAGCCCCGCATCTTCAATAGTTCGCAGAATAAGCATCACGAAGATGATGAGGATGCAAGACCTGCCAGGCCGGTCCGCACGCGTACACTGGACAACATCCGTTCCGTGTTGTCCAGTTCCAAGACTGAGGATATGCCATATCTCTCCTACACACCTACCATGGGTCGAAACTCCAACTTTGTTGGCTTAACACTTGAACAACGCGAAGAACTCGGTGGTATTGAGTACCGTTCGTTGAGGACACTTGCAATCGTTCTTTTGGTCTATTTTTGGGGGTTCCATCTTGTGATTCTGACCTGCCTATTGCCCTTTATACTCCATAATGATCATTATGGAGATATTGTGGTTGCCGATGGCGTGTCAAAGACTTGGTGGGGCTTTTTCACCTCCAATGTTGCCTTTATGGATGTTGGCTTTACCCTCACACCTGACAGCATGATCTCTTTCAACACATCTGCCTTTTGCTTGATGGTAATGTGGTTTTTCATCATTATCGGAAATACAGGTTTCCCCGTGATGCTACGCTTTATCATTTGGGTTGCTGCCAAGCTCGCCCCCGTTGGCTCGGGAATATGGGAGGAGCTTCGGTTTCTACTCGATCATCCACGTCGCTGCTTCACACTGTTGTTCCCATCGGGTCCGAATTGGTGGCTATTTTGGATTCTGGTTGTGTTGAACGCTGTCGACTTGTTGTTTTTCATGGTTCTCGATGTAGGTGACATCAGTTTTGCATATATTTTTTTCCTTCTCTTCTTCCATGTCAATTGGCTAACGGCGAACCTAATTTAGCTTGGAGGTGAGCCCATTGCTAAGCTGAGCGTTAGCAACCGGGTTGTCATTGGATTCTTTCAGGCTGCGTCTACAAGAACAGCTGGGTTCTCCGCCGTCGCCATGTCAGAGATTCATCCAGCAATTCCAGTTCTATATCTGATCATGATGTACATTTCCGTCTTCCCCATCGCTATTTCCATTCGTCGCACCAACGTCTACGAGGAAAAGTCTCTTGGCATGTACCAACCGCATCACATCGAAGACGACCAGGATGCCAGTGCTTTGTCGTATGTTGGAACTCATTTACGTCGCCAACTGTCCTTCGATTTGTGGTACGTCTTTCTGGGATTTTTCATCATCACTATCAGTGAAGGTGCGAAGATTGTGGCCGGCAGATTCTCCTTGTTTGACATTTTATTCGAAGTCGTGAGCGCTTATGGCACCGTGGGATTGAGTATGGGTGCTGCCGGAGTCAATGCTTCTCTGTGCTCGCAATTTTCTGTCGTTGGCAAGCTGGTTATCGTGGCCATGGAAATTCGTGGTCGTCATCGTGGTCTGCCTTACGGTCTCGACAGGGCTATACTTTTGCCTAGCGAATCCAGATTTAGGAAAGAAGCAGAAGAGCAAGAAGCCGCGTTGGCGAGAACCAATACTGCTCTCACACATGCCACTGCATCCGGTATTCAGCATCAAGACATCAATTTGACTCGGACTCGAAGTAAGAGCCGTGAGCGTGTCCGAGCCAACAGCAACATTGTTGCGCAACTGCTACAACCTGGGCCTGCTGTACACCGAGAAGGCCCACCACATCAGCGCATGGGCTCTAAAGACTCCCATGGTCATCCTTTCGGGTCAATGAGAACCTTTTCTGAGCCTCATCCGGATGACGAACAAATGGATGAATTGGCTCCTTTACCCAGTTCTGGGTCAAGGCCATGGAACCGGAGAGTAGATTCCGCCCCAGTGTCTTAGGTAGATCCATGGGAACCATTGCTTGCACGGCAATCGTGTATACAACCGAGATGACGGTATATTTCACTTATCATATTCCCGCCGCCCTTCGTTCTTTTTTTCACTTGTTTTAGTCAGGATCTTAGATAGGGCTACGTGGGAAACGATACATACGGCACCACGAACCTAGGAAAGGGGAGGGGGCTGGAGCTCTAGGAAGCACATATTTGTTCTATCATTGGTATCTTTATTTTCGGGTCGTCGAGGGACAGTCATGGTATATTCGCAAGCTCCGAATGCGCCTTTAGAAGGTTTTGTAGCAAATAAAGCGTGCCATAGTGTATTGACTAAAGTCAATTATGATGAACATACCCCTCATGTATGTTAATAAGTTTCTGTTGGCTGCTTCCGTTTCCAGAGTACAGGACCATCTCGTTCTATTCTGAAAGCCAAATGATCGCTATAAAACCCGTGTCCAAAGTAGAAAAACGCCACGAATAGCTCCATATTCAAGAAGATAAATGTTCACGAATCCCACCGACCTACTCAGCATGCAAATAACAAAGATTTCGTTCCCTGGTTCTATTTCTCATCAAAAGCGCCTATATTCTTTAAAGCACCAGCTAATCGTCTATAGTCTTTAAGTAGTTCCCGGACTTCGCCGAGTCTAAGCTCCCCAGGACCTTGGATCTCCATAAAGCGTTTGTTGGGGGGAGGAATTCTAGGAACGGTGATTTGCTTGGGTGGAAGTGCAGCTGCAATCTCCGGAGAGGCCTGTTGCCAAGAGAATTAGTATTTGTATTCCATCTGAAAGTAGACTGTCCTGTGGATGAAAGGGAACTAACAGTTGCCAATTCACCGCTGTCTGTGGAGCCCTTGGCAGAGGGCGTGTTACGGCCGAAACCGCGAATCATGCCTATGCTGGAGAGTCGACCGATGGGATTGAACGAACTGCCCAAGTTACGGACCGAATCCAGCATAGCGGGGGCTGTTGGTGTTGCTGATGTGGGTGTGCTTGACGCCTTGGAGTCCTCCGAGAAGCCAACCTTTTTGGTAGATGAATGGCCGCTTCTGACACTATCCACACTGGCGTCCCGGCGACCGCTGATGAGACTGAGGACACGGTCTTCGCGCGCGGATGGTCGTTTGGGCTGTTCTGTGTCTTCGGAGCCACCTGCGGCAGAACTGGTAGCGCTGGCGTTGTCATCCTCATCGGGAGGTGGAGTGCTGACGAGTTTACGGGCATCGTCCAGGGTGCGAGGAACGACGATAGACTCTTTGGGGCTCTCCTGGCGTTCTCGCAACTTGCCTAGGAGAAACGAATAACTATCACCTAGGCTGTTGGAAATGGTCTTGAGTCCTTGGTCCGCTGTGTTGAACACGGCACCGCTTGCCGCGCCAAATGCCTGTGCTGGGGTATTGACAAGATCACTGAGTCTTCTGTTGCGTAAAACGTTGGCAGCCTTGAGACCTGAGGGAGAAGGCGCGGGTTTCGAGGCCGTAACATTGTCAGTGCTAGCCTCGGTGGCACTCTGAGAAGGTGCAGTGATTCCGTATGCAGGTGGGAAGGTTTCAGTCTTGGGAGTGCCAACGTGACTGTCTGGCTTTACAGGCCCAGATGGGAGCTCATCTTCTCGCAGAGTAGACAGGTCCACTGTCTGAAGAAAACTGATGGCTGCTTCAAGATTCGTTAGACAGTACGCAGCTTCACCAGTCAGTTTTTGCTCCCAGCGGAAGTACTGGATAAAATGAAGGTCGCTAATGATGTGAAGATTCTCTGGCGGCAGGGTGATGAGGGTGTATATTAGCATGGGCATGATTTCGTCGGCTGACGCGGACGGGTGCACTTCAGCCAGTGTGTCGACTATGCTCTTGTGAGCAGCTTTCAAGTGATTTGTTTTGGCCAGAGGATATCTAGCCTCGCTCATTCGAACCATATCCGCTCGTGCCTCCCCCAAGGAATGTCTCATTTGCTCAGTCACCTTGGCAGCCACCTCAGGACTCTGTGCCGCTTCCTCGCCATAGTCTACGCCCAAATCAACAGGGGTAATTCCAACAAGGGCCAGAGCGGCCGTTTTTGAGCGGAGCTTCTCGTCTTGAGCCTCGTCATGTGTAGTTCGGTGACGGTAGATTTTGTCATAGATGCCCTCACATAGCCTTCGCTCAACAGCCTCCTCCAGCGTGCCTCGCTTTGCCTCTAGTACTTTTCTTGCCCTTTTTCGATTCGCAAGCTCTTCAGCTGTAATCATCTGACGTTCTGTTTCCACCTTGGGCTTATCCTTGGCGCCCAGGGAAGCTGCTTTGGACCGGAGGCGGGTCGCAGCAGACGAGATGGATGATCCTGATGGAGCAGGCGAGATATCACGACTTTGCTTTGTAGCAAGAGCACTGATATGTGTGGCGATATGCGATGATGCTAGGGCATAGAAGTCCTGGAATAACCTTGACAATTTTTCAATGTTTGGAGGCGTAGAGTGGACCTTGGCGCTTAGTGACTCGATGAAGCTGGTGGATGTTAGAAATAACTTGGGATGCCTGACACCATGTTGGGGATATCGTCATCCCTGTACTCATCATACCTGTCCGTAAGAGTTATTAGCTCGATTGGCAACTCGTCGAGCTCGACAGACGCTCGTGCGGTCTCGGTAACATCGTCATTTTCACTATGCTCTGCAGTATCGAACGCATCGGGAGCATCATAATCAGGCTGTACTTTGGGGATTGATCCATTGTGGAATGTATGCGCTCGCTTGGGCAGCTCGAGTCTATCATTCTCGTTTCGGTGGGCGGAATCGGGGTAGGAAGGCATACGAGGAACGCCTTGCCGGATGGCGTCGGAGCTTTTGGAGTTTTGCGAAGACATGGAGGTTTCAGTCGAGGGGACTGGGCATGTAGAATGCGGCCGACGACCAAACTTCGATCCTCACGCACCAGAGTTGCAGAACGATGGGACGGTTAGAGGAGCTGGAGACGGAAGATGTGACTCCGACTCATGTGAGTGTGGCCCGCAGGAGCGTACGCCACGCGGTGAAGATGGCCACCACAAGCCAGCAAACTGCTTCAGCTCGTTTCCTACCAAGGGTGTGACGCCAAGGGAACCCCGCTGATGGGGTTTGACGATGCTGAGGAGCTGACGAAAGCTCCTGAAATGACTCGGACCCGTGGGCACAATCATGCGACCAATGCGTAGATTATGTCGAGCGAGCTAAACAGTCGACATGTCGCTGTAAAAAACAGAAAGAGTACTTTGGCGAGATAATGACCTGACGACACGAGGGCGATGGACAAACTGTCGGGTGCATCAAGGGGTAGGGCTGAGCCGCAGACGGATGGAGGAGGATATTTGATTGATGTTGATAGCTCTTATCAATGCATTGATTGACAGGTGTGATGGTTGGTGCATAAAAGTACCAGACACATGTGCCCAGGTGAGGTCTGCTGGGTGGCCCCTGGATCGATCTGGCCTAGTCGCTGCCTTACTGCTGGCGCTTGCTTGTGAAAGGATGGACAGATTTAGCACAGCGCAGGGACCGAAGGACGAGCCCGAACCGGCGACACGATGCGTGTTGGGGGGGCAAGGCGAGCTGCCATGTGGGCAATGCACCTTGTAGAAATTGAAAGCAAGCTGGAGGTTTCGACGTATCTTCGGAGTCTGTCCGCTGTCGGTGGTAATTTGTCTGCTCGGACGGCTCCAAGGCAAAGCACTTGAACTCGACACTTTTCAGAGCGCGGAAGGCGCGGGCCATTTCTCAGAGTCATACGTCATTTGCTTGCGCATGCATGCATACATATACGCGTACCCATGCAGGCCCTTTTCGCAGCGAGGGCGAATTCTGGAGCCTTTTGACTTGGGTTGAAATAAGGAAAGAAAAAAAAGAAAAGAAAGGAAAAACCTTGATCAACATCGTTATCTGGAATGCGGCATGGTTTGGCGACACATTGTCACTAATCCGTACTACACGTTGTTGGTATTTGCAGGGAGAAGCCAAGTCTGGTTACCCGTCGCGAAAGGGGACATCAGACGGAGCTGACTTGGCGGCATATTTATTCGATTCTTGATGTACTGCATCAACCTTAAATAGCTGCAATACAATATTAATTCTGCGCTCAGACCCTGACGACATTTCGGGCAATTTTTTGGGAAAAGGTAACAGAGAGAGGCAAAGAGGCCATCAGGGCTGCTTGCCTCCATCTCGGCCAACGGAACATTGAACCATGGCATGGCCAATGGAACTGCCCCGCTTCGGTTCCTGGTGCGGGCCAAGCTGGGCCAAGCCGGGGTCGGAACCGCACCTACTGTCGGCTGCAATAGGCGTCCACTGGTTGGTTGACGCTGTCACTGCACCAGACACTCAAGAGCTTGACATCGAATTGCCCCGGCTGCGGGGGAAGCTTGCGGCGGCCCACAGGAGAGATTGCGAGATCGTGCCCATCACCCCGTTCGTTCCCCGTTCCCCGTTACCGGTTACCCGTTATCCGTTATCCGTTTTACCGGCCGGCTTAAACATTTTCTCTTTTTTTTTTTTTCCCCTACATTAATAACTGCCACCCTTCCGCCCTCTCATCTGCTCCTTGCTCTCCTGTCCCCTTCCCCCTTTCCCCCGTCCCCTTGCGAGTCATACGGCCTTTGCTGCGCTGCGCGGCACATCTTCCTCGTCTCGTACCCTCGGCTTATCGCCATGTCTGGGCCTCCATCGCGAATTCGATCCATCCTGGGCCACTTACTTGGTCCTGCCCAACCGCCGCCTCACATTCACCATCTTTCGCCGACCTTCTTCCTTGAGCGCGCTGCTCTTGTCGAGCCCAATGCCGACGCAATCTTTCACATAACGCCCAACGGCGTCGCTTTGCGCCGTTCCTACCAGACCTTTGCCGACCGAGCTCGGGGGCTTGCCTACTACCTCAAGAAGCACAAGCTGAGTCGCATTGGCATCTTGGCACCCAACACGCCAGCTTTTCTCGAGTCAATATATGGTATTGTCGCTGGTGGCGGCGTCGTGGTTCCCGCAAATTATCGACTGAAGGCGGACGATATTGCTTACATATTTGAGCATGCCGAGGTCGATGCCATCATTGTCGACAAGGAGTTTGAGGGGTTGCTCGGTGCATTCACGAAAAAGCACCCCAATGTGCCATTGATTGTCGACCTGGTAAGCCAAAAAAAAAACGCACAGATTGTGCTGTCGTCCTATTCCCTTTTCTATATCAAAAAAGAAGAAGAAAATAAACTGTCCCCTAACCCTTGGTCTGTTGTAGGACACGGATGCCACCGAGGGTCCATCATGCGGTCAATTCAACGAAGCAATCCTCGAGGGCCTTGCCTATGATGAGGAGCTAGGCGGTCATGCCTGGGCCGGCTTGCAGTCCAAGGCAACCAACGAAGATGACATGCTCGCTATTCCCTTCACCTCTGGCACGACGTCACGGCCCAAAGGAGTAGTTTACACTCACAGAGGTGCATATCTTGCCGCCATGGGAAATATCATTGAGTCTGGCTTGAACCAAGGGCGATGCCGCTATTTATGGACTCTGCCAATGTAACTACCTGCCCTACGTTTTGACTCCCAACAGGGAACCCACTTGCTGATTTTTTAATTTTTCTTCGCTTGCTTCTAGGTTCCATGCCATGGGCTGGACATTTCCCTGGTCGGTCGTGGCTGTGCGAGGATTGAATGTGTGCCTCAGAAAGATTGACTACCCGCTGATATGGAAGCTGCTGAAGGAAGAGGGAATCACGCACTTCAATGCAGCCCCAACCGTCAATACTCTCCTGGTGGCGGCCAAGGAAGCTGTCAAGCTGCCCAACCCGGTGCAAGTAACGGTGGCAGCTAGCCCGCCGTCTGCTCATCTCTTCGAGTTGATGGTGAGACTAGGTCTTTGTACACCTGTCAACGATCTCCCCTTGCTGATTGTCGTCACAGACCAACCTCAACCTCATGCCTGTTCACGTATACGGAATGACTGGTGAGTGTCGCTTAGCAAGACAGACCGTGTCAACATGCATCTAATCAAAGCACAGAAACGTATGGCCCCATCACAAAATGCTACCATCTACCAGAATGGGATAATCTCCCGCCCCAGCAAAAATACGCCAAGATGGCCCGACAAGGTCACGGCTTCGTCACCAGTTTACCCATCCGCATCATCAAACCCGATCAACCAGAAGGTGTTCTCATCGACGTCGCCAAGAATGGCCAAGAAATCGGAGAAATCGTTTTCATCGGCAATATCTGCGCCAAGGAGTATTTCAAGGATGCCGAAGCATCTCGGAAGCTCTTTGCCGGTGGCGTTTTACATTCCGGGGACCTGGCCGTATGGCACCCTGACGGCAGCGCCCAGATTCTCGATCGGGCCAAGGACATTATCATTTCCGGGGGGGAGAATATATCGTCCGTGGCGCTGGAGAGCGTGCTCGTCCAGCATCCGGATATTCTAGAGGCTGGTGTTGTGGCTATCCCCAATGATCACTGGGGCGAGGTACCAAAGGCGTATGTTACGGTGAAGGAGGGCAAGACTATACGGGGAGAGGATGTAATCTCTTGGGCGAAGCATCAAAGCAATATCAGCAGGTTCATGGTACCTAAAGAGGTGGAGGTTGTGAAAGAGTTGCCAAAGACCAGCACGGGGAAGATTAAGAAGAATGATTTGCGCGAGTGGGCTAAGAAAGGTGCAAAGCGATAGATGGTATATGATTGGAAGCTACACAGGAGTTGACGGTCGCACTATTTTTCCCTGGTGTATTTCTTGGTATATCTGGCTACTATTGTGACAGCCCATGCCTCTATCGGAAGCCCTTGTTTCTCAAGATTCGTATCATTGTTCGTAACCTCTTCATGACGGTCGTTTACTTCACATTAGCCGGGAACAAAGCCCCCGCCCTACCCCGGTCAAGTCCATCCAGAGTCTTCATGTCCCCTTGATCCAGTGCAAAATCAAACACATTTGCGTTTTGCTTGATTCTGTCGGTATTGCCGCTCTTGGGAAGTGGAACCCAATTCTTCTGGAGCGCGAACCGAATCAATATTTGAGCTGGTGACTTGTTGTACTTGTCTGCTATGGCGCCCAAAGTTGGATCATTCAGGTGGTCGCCACAGGAGAGTGGACTGTACGCTGCAAGGACGATATTCTTATCCTCGCAGTATTGAACGATTTCCCGCTGCTGGCACCACGGGTGAAGCTACGAAATTCATATTAGTCTGACATCTTTCCATCCTGAAAATCCCCCCCACCGGGAGAATGTCTTGTGTTTTTCCAACATACCTCGATTTGGTTCACATGCGGCGGCCAAACCTTTGCGTATTCCTTCATCTCTTCGATGTGCTGTGGCCGATAATTACTTACGCCGATGGCCTTGGCTCGCCCCTCGGCGTACAGCTTTTCCAGCACGCCCCATAGCTCCTCCCGCGACTCTCGTCCGGTGCCGGGGATGTGAATCAGCAGCAGGTCAACGTACCCGTCCTTGCCGCTTACCTTCTCGATGCTTTCCATGCAGCTCTGGTATGACTTCTCGAAAGAGCCCGCCGATTGGCGAATCTTGGTGGTTATGAAAATGTCTTGTCGCTGGATGGGCGACTGCTGGATAGCTGCCCCGACGTCGGCTTCGTTTCGGTACAGTTGCGCCGAGTCAATGTGGCGGTAGCCAGCCTCTAGGGCATCCAGGACGGCTTTTTGGCAGGATTTCCCGTAAAGTTGGTAGACGCCGAAACCGAGTTTCGGGATGGAGCTGCTGGTGTTGGTGAGGGGTGCGCGGTCGTGGAGTGTGAGTGGTGCCATGGTGGTTACCTTTGTTATTTTCACCTTGTCATGAAAATTGGGAAGACAGCAATTAGGAAAATAAAAAAAGGTGTAGACTAGATGCGCTTTGATGTGTCCTGAAAGTAAGCATTATTAATACAAGCCCGATACAATACACTGAAGCTAGAATTTTAGACGAGTTTCCTGGGGGGTCGGTCGAAGAAGGAGCTTGGGGCAGCAGATCGTCCGTCGGCTTCTGCAAGGTGCTGCATGTAAGAAGCATGTAAAGAGCCTGGCGGGTGGGTGCATTCGTCATAGGGAGCCACTTTATGCCCCGCCACGCCGCTGGCGGATGGCATCTCCCGAGAGCTGCGAGCCGTCAACTAGCTGAGCGGTATTGTTCGAGGTGAATGCGGCACGAAGTTCAAAGCAACGAATAGACCGAAATGAACGGGGATATTAAATGCCAAGAAGAAACTGCCCAAACGAGTTTTCTTCATTTCCGTATTCGAAGCATACCGTCGGCCCGACTTTATCCCCGCAAACTTTGGACCTGGGAAAGGAGAACAGGCAGGTTGCTGCCAGCTGCGAGTCGCCAGCAAACGACCAGAGCTCTCGACGCCCTTCCGCCCCACCAACCAATCCACCATTAGCCTACTTTCGTCACAGAGTGGTTTCCACTGCTCTAGCATTTTGCCTCCCTCATTCCACCAGGTGCGACGACCTTCGTTCCGTTTTCCATCGTGTACCGGTTCGACGGTTAATGGGAAGCATCTTTTTTTTTCGTCACCTAATCACCAGTTCACACACAGCTCGTCTTGAGTTTGTGGACAATCCCTACGGCTGCGACCACACCCATTTTTTTTTTCTTTGCCGAAACAAACATGAGCACTTTGCGGCCTTTGCGGGGTGGTTGCTTGTGTGGGAGGAACCGGTACATCATTGCTCTTCCGGAGGATGGGATAAATGAGGCACAAGTGCTATTCAGCACGGACAGGTCACACCGTGAGTTGGGATTCCCAATGGTCTGCTCTGCAGTTGACGGGACCGAGAAGATGATGTCTAAATAAATCTCTGTCCACGGTGTCTTGCGTAGGCTAACAGCGGTTTCCAGAAGAACCACTTGCTACACCTCTGGCGGCGTACATCCGAGTACCGCTGTCATGGTTACACAGCACGACATTTGCATTCTTCGATGATGAGACGCACACCATGATTCGACGTGTCTACACCCACCCTAGCCAAGACCACACAAAGCGTCAATTCTGTGGATTCTGTGGCACGCCGCTATCATACTGGTCCGAAGAGCCGAGAAGCGAGGCCGAGTATATCAACCTCACATTGGGCAGTCTGCTTCAAGAAGACCTCCAGGACTTGGAAGACCTGGGACTCATTCCAGAGGAGGGTGAAAGCGAACCAGAGGAAATGCGGGCGGCCAGCCCAAACCGCGGCATTGCCCTGCGACATTCCTTCGGAGTCCCATGGTTCGATGGCATGGTGGATGGCACCAGACTGGGTAGAATGCGCCGCACGCATGGGATTAGACGCTCAGGCAATGGTACAGTAAAGGTTGAATGGGAGATCATTGAGGAGTCGGACGGGCTGGAGAACAACGAGGTTGAAATGGAGACTGGTTCTGCGTCGGGGAAGCGAAAGTTGCAGGACAGAGAAGGCTAGAAAGCATCACTGTGAAACGGACTCGGCGACTTCGGACGAGGGAATGCACTCACTTAGGTATCAGCCACCGACATGCGTGAGAGACATTCTTGACATGTGCTGTCTTTGGCCAAGGGACGAGACTCAAGTTGACCGGGATGACAAGTCCAGCTTTGGCATGATGCAAAGCTCAACAGCTGCATGGCCAAGTCTCGAGAACAGTGGTGGGAACACAGGACCGAGGGAGGTGTGGCGTGGTGGCGTTTATGCGGAAGGAGGGGGGAAAAAAAAAAAAAAAAAAAAAAAAAGAGGGAGGGAGGGCATTCTTGACATGTGCTGTCTTTGGCCAAGGGACGAGACTCAAGTTGACCGGGATGACAAGTCCAGCTTTGGCATGATGCAAAGCTCAACAGCTGCATGGCCAAGTCTCGAGAACAGTGGTGGGAACACAGGACCGAGGGAGGTGTGGCGTGGTGGCGTTTATGCGGAAGGAGGGGGGAAAAAAAAAAAAAAAAAAAGAGAGAGAGAGAGAGAGAGAGAAAGAAACGACGGACATGTATGAAAATAAATATGCTGTGGATTACCGAGTAGAAGAGATGACGGTGTGAATCCATGTTATTTCATGCAAGTTGTTTGGTGTTGTCGTTGATTCCTTGTGGAAGAATTGCGGAATGTCTGGCACCATATCACGCACCCACTGGACGCAATTCGTGAAGGAACAAAGGCGGCTGAGAGATGCGCTTTCAAGGCAGAATGCACTTGGAACGTTAAATAGTTTCAAAGCCACGACGACGCCATCAGCTCTCCAGCCCGTGTTGCGGCCGGCAGCCGACGCCCGCTCTGCCCCTGGACACGGAGAGATTACATGCTGTGAGATGAAAGCCATTGCTTTCGTCCTAGTCGGTACTCCGCAGTGTCAAAGGCTCAAAGCACACACAAGCCGCGCGCGTACATACATGGGGAGCCCCCAAGCTGACAGTCATTGCAGAGACGGGCCGGGGATTGGAAAAGCAGAATGGTGGCACAATTGGGGGTTTTAATTGACCCCGCCGCGAGGGGGGGGAAGAAGCTTGTGCCACTTATTCTTTGTACAGGGAATCAAGCAATGTAGGCCGTGACGTTGGCGACGTTGGGATTTGTGACGTGGCGGTTGATGCAGAGACAGTATGATGGGAATTGCGGTTTTGCCTCTTCAGCCAGCGCCAAATCGGGGTGATTGCCCGTGACTCCTGCAGACATGGAACCTCCACTGTACAAGGGTGCTCCGCCCAGCAGTAAGCACTTAGATATTGCCAACATTGAACCTTGCCGATTGTGATGCTTCTTTGCTTCGTGGGAAAGATGCTCGGCAGATCACCGCCAGCAGGGGGGACTTTGACGGGCGCAATAACTCCACTCGGTCAGAGTCTAGCGTCTTGTGGTGTATGGTGGCCTGCTGAGCTTGTTATTATTACTACTCCGTATTATTATCGATTTTTCTCTCTCTCTCTCCGGTTTGGGATCTATCTATCCTTTGGGGGGGTTGGTCACGATGGAGCAATCTTTGAAGCTGGGCATTTAAGATGCCGCTGCCCTCCAGGTGGAATTGCAATGGGGGCAGAAAAGGGCCCATTTACATTGATATTCCCCTCCAGCAAGGAACACCCATTGCATTTTCTGCCTGATATACTTGATACTCTGTGTTGCGGCGATTTTTCTCGCTTGCCCGTCGTGGTTATATATCTGTCTGGACAGCACCGACGCAGGCAAAACAACAAGCCGCTTCGAAACATCTTCGTCCAGCAAACATGTCCCTCCCAAGCGACTTCCTCTGGGGATTCGCAACAGCAGCGTAACCGCCCCCCTCCACCCCTCCACCACCCCTCCTTGACTTCAAATGTCCATTACCTCATGACACAAGGCACAAGGTCGCTAACTCGTCCCAGCTATCAAATCGAAGGCGCCGTCGAACAAGACGGTCGAGCCCCCACCATCTGGGACACCTTCTGCAACAGGCCCGGCAAAATCGCCGACGGCTCCTCGGGCAACACGGCGTGCGACTCGTACAACCGCACAGCAGAAGACATTGCCCTCCTCAAGTCTCTGGGCGCAACGGCCTACCGCTTCTCCTTGTCATGGACACGCATCGTACCCCTTGGGGGGCGGAACGACCCCGTCAACCAGCCCGGTCTGGACCACTACGTCAAGTTTGTCGATGACTTGCTCGCTGCCGGCATCACGCCATTCGTCACCCTGCTTCACTGGGATGTGCCCGACGAGCTGGACAAGCGGTACGGCGGGCTGCTGGACAAGACCGAGTTTGGCCTCGATTTCGACCGCTACGCGCGGCTGTGTTTCCAGGCCATGCCCAAGGTGAAGCACTGGGCCACTTTCAACGAGCCGTGGTGCTCGGCCGTCTTGGGGTACAACGTCGGCCAGTTTGCGCCAGGAAGGACGTCGGACCGGACCAAGTCTTCCGAAGGCGACGGCACCACGGAGCCCTGGATCGCTGCGCACACGTTGCTCGTTGCGCACGGCCGCGCAGTCAGGTCCTACCGGGACGACTTCAAGGCGGCCGCCCAGGGCGAAATCGGCATCGTGCTGAACGGCGACGCCGTCTTCCCCTGGGACCCCGCGGACCCAAGGGACGTGGAGGCGTGCGAGCGCAAGCTGGAATTCGCCATCTCGTGGTTCGCAGACCCCATCTACAAGGGCGACTACCCAGAGTCCATGAAGCGCCAGCTCGGCAGCCGCCTGCCCACCTTTACGCCCGAAGAAGTCGCCCTCGTCCGCGGCTCAAACGACTTCTACGGCATGAACCACTACACGGCCAACTACGTCAGGCACCGCCTCGGAACGGCCGACCCGGAGGACGTGGGCGGCCACCTCGACCTCTTGTCCTACAACAAGAGGGGCTTCTGCATCGGCGAAGAGACGCAGTCGCCGTGGTTGCGGCCCTGCGCCGCCGGATTCCGCGACCTGATGGTCTGGATCAGCAAGCGCTACAACTACCCCAAGATTTACATCACCGAGAACGGGACCAGTATCAAGGGCGAGAACGATTTGCCCGTGGACAAGATTCTGGACGACGACTTTCGCGTGCGCTACTATGACGATTACGTGAGGGCCATGGCGACGGCCGTGTCGCTGGACGGCGTCGATGTGAGGGGGTATTTTGCCTGGTCGTTGATGGATAATTTCGAGTGGGCCGAGGGCTACGAGACGCGCTTTGGCGTGTGCTACGTCGATTATGACAATGGCCAGAAGAGGTTTGCCAAGAAGAGCGCCCGGTTCTTGGGGCCGCTGTTCGATAAGTTGATACGAAAGGACGGGCAGTAGGGGTCTCTTGTTGCATTAGCACGGACATCTAGATTACGTATCCTGTTTGATGTATCATCCAGAGTCGTTTCCCTTGGTGGCTTTTTACTTTGCAGGTCAAGGTATGAGTTGCGCAAGGGGTCTGGGTAGTGGATGCTGCAACGAGCAATACATTGGTGCACATTGGTATATAAAATCTGCTTATACCAACGTATGTGGTAATAATACGAAAGGAGCTAGAAGCCTGAGTCGGACAATCGGTGAGGCTCTATAGGGCGTGATTCATCCCACAACATGCCAAAAAAAAATGAACCGATGTGAAAGAATAGTCGATCAGCTTTACACTGTTCTCGGCCGCTATTACCCTCGTCATCTTGCCATCAGAACATCGGGTTTACAAATCAACACTTATTATATCTTGTAATAGTGCCAGATTCATCATCACAGGTTGAGTAGTGTAGTGGTCAACATGGTGGCTTCACATAATCAGTGAATGCGCTACAGCCCCGGGTTCGATTCCCGGCTCGACTAAAGTTTTTGACTGTATTGGTGCTGCATCTCGGCGACTGTGTCGAGCTCCATAAGCTTCATTCATTTACGCAATTTTTCTTTTTTTTGGCCCTTTAGTAGTCTGTTTAGGAGCACAATACAGGCAAACCATAACAAGACCAGGGAATCGGTTCAGCAATGTGCCGATTATCTTCAACGCCAACGCACGTCATCTAGAAGATCAAATAACACCACCTACCCTAGGCCATATGAGCGGCGTCCACGCCTTGAGCAGACCAGCAGCACGCTTCAGAGGCCTTAAGCAATGATAAATTCACGAGTGCTTTTCAGCGTCTAGCACATCAAAATATTACTCGTTTCGCGAGGGAAACCAAGCGTGACCGGCAATCGTGGACGAATCCAACCCCCCCCACGCGTGCAAATGTCCACCAAGTTTCTGTGCGTGCTTCGAATCCACTACGATTGTTTTCACCAGAGGGAGTCCAATGCCCGTGAGCAATATTCGTCAGAGTCGGGACGCGGTCTTGCAGCAAGAATGAAATTTGCTGCTTTTGATACTTTACGCTAAGCTTCTCGTCATTCGGCTGCTTCAGGTCCAATGCCTTCTCAAAAGTCGCAACAGACTCGAACCAAGACGCTGCGCAAATGTGGTGTATGCAGCACAAGATGCTTGCCTGTAGCGGACAATCTGTAACAGCATGAAACAAAAGGAAATACCAAAATCCTCGCAAATATCAAAATCCTTTTCGAACCATCTTCTTGAATCCTGTATACATTAAAAACTGGCAACCTCCGTGCAGGACTGTTCGAGGACAACATTGGTGGTAAGAGGCCTCATAGCCGCGTGGCGGCTCTTGAACGACTCCAGCTACATTGATCCCAGCAAGCAGTCTTGTGAAAGGGCATCCAACTCGTTGTAGAAATCAGTAACCACCATCATGGGGGCAACAAGCGTGTCTGGCTGCACCTTCATACCGAGGACGGCGTCGAGACCTCTACAGATATTTGCCGCCAGTTCACGACAATTCTGATACAAGCCAATGTCAATCTGTAGAGCCGACTGAAGAACAAGCCACATGTCGGGATACGCATCGATGACGGGCTGGAAGATGGCGGCGCGGACGGATTCAATGCACCGATGGGAGAGGATTTGGCTCATCCAGAAATACATCATCATTAGACCCGTTTGCAAGTCTCTAAACGTGAACGGGTTCTCCAAAGGGCTTTCTCCCAACCCGCCATCCATATGATCTACCCAGAAAGCACGTCCATCTGCGGATCCCATCGCTAGTTCGGAAAGCCATTGACTAAAGTGGCCTTCCAAGGCGAGGCATTCCCTCAAGCCATCCTGCAACTCCATTCGACGAGCTGTCGTGGCGGGAGAGGCGAGCAGGCGATCTACTTCGTTGAAGATGGCAGGCAGTTTGAGGGCTAGGTCAAAGAGCTGGTTGATATGGGACGTGGGATGTGGCCCTCGAGATGCTGATAACCAGTCTGGCGAGTAGAGATGTGCTTCGCAGCGACGCAGCAGAGCGATGCTCGGCTGTTGTCATGTATTAGTGGCTATGCGCTTTGGAGAAGCTGGGGAAGCTGGCATCGGATTGAGAAAGCCGACTAGAAGAAGATAGAGGCCTACTGTATAATGATAATTCGGAAACGACGAGTAGTAATTTGAATCACGGCGCTTTAAGACGTCCATCTGGCTAGATGAATCAGGCCCTAGCTCACATCCCATGGAAGCAGGAGAGTTGTGCTGCGCAAAGCCTATCAGCAAACAGGTTTAACTAGCAAGAAATGGAACGACGATAGCTTACGCCGTAAAAGAAGGCGCAATAACCATCACCTGAAGATCTCCCGTCATCAGAGGTCCACAGTCTCGTCATATACGCCGAATTTTTCTCGGTAGCAAAATCGGCATCATACAAATCCACAAGAGGGAAATGTACCTGCGAATCCATGGCAAGCTCTCCCGCCTGCCCTTGAGCTCCCGGCCTCACAACACCAGGTATACTTGTCTGCAGAGCCGATGTCAGCACAGAGTTGTCTTTCCTGCTGGCACAAGGCTGAATAGCGTCAGCCCATGGTGAAACGGAATGTTGGATCTGCAGCATGGAGGACGTCTCGCGCTCTTCCGTCTTGGACCTCGCACACCAACCATGCTTACTTACTATCATTCTGTAGAATCCAAACGGGCAAGGGGATGAAGACCAATTGTCCAAAGCTGGTGTAAAACGCCAAAAATGAGCAACAGAGAACAAGACAAGAAAACTCCGTTTTGCCTCTTCGGCCTCAGCATCCCTTCAGGGTTTTCTTCTTGGTAGAGCGGCGTCTGCCAAGCGCTTTTTTTTTCGGAAACAATTCTTTGGGAAAAGACTGCTGGTTAATCTAGATTTCCAACTTGGTACTGGCTGCCGACAAACCCCAGTATATGTACCTCGTTGTCCAGAGCACCCCTTCGAGGACGTCTTCTCGATATAGCTTGGCAAGGCCCACCGTGCCTGTACAGCTAGTCAACTAGTCATCAAGCAAAGTGCCTCGTCCCTTTTACCGCCACTATATTGAGCAGTTCATCTCCACCAAGTGGTAGTCTGCCATCATCGGGAATAACAGAAGCACGCCGTATTCCCCCACAAACACCGACTCCGCCTCAGTCTAGTATCTCGGACATTGTACTCCGCGCAACACAGCTGCTGTGGACAAGTCGCTATAGGGCTGACTTTAAGAAGCAACTGATGTCCCCCAAACGGCGGCGAGGCTGGACACGACAAAGTCCCGTCGTGAGGGCCGGCTCCGTGTCTCATTGGTGGAAATGTCCCTAGCACCGCACTCGAGTTTGACGAATTAGGAAATTCTGCACGAAGTACTCCCGCATGACGGCTTTTGCGGATCCGGGTCCCGAGATCTTGACGTACAATGCCCCGTAACGCCGAGCATGGCAGCCCCCGGTGCGGTCTTCATGGATATCACTGCACATGTCGCCGCTTAAACGCTTCTTTCCGATATTCTTCGGTCACCTGTATCGGCGTGTTAGTATATAGACATGATTTGCGTCGTAAATCTCGTATATCATCCACAGAATTGACGCTCTAGGTGACCCACGATGGCCAGCCACCTATTTCCACCACCCAAGTTGGTAGACTTTTACTCGCTATTCGACTTGGGATGTAGGCCTTCTCTCTTGCTTATTGCTTGCCCGACCAGACCGGTTTATGTTAGAATGACCCGCACCTAATGCCCGCATTGCGAGGGATGCACGGCTCTGTCTAGTGTATGCGGAAAGCACTGCCATGTACACGCTATGATGAGAAGAAAATAAATCCAGGTTTCTCCAATAGATGCAATGCTTCTAGATAATTTTATAAAAAATCCTTCTTTTTCAGCTTGGTATTTCTGCAATGTTCAGCTGCATGTGAAGTGAGGTCATGCAGCCGCCCATTAGCATTGGCACGGAGGAACAATGCCCACCGTCGCCGTACAATATTGTACATAAACGCCTATCACCCCCCCCCGGATCTTTTGGAAAGCCTTTTCAACAACTAGATGTACTTGTATGGGTTCATAATGCCATTCTGTGGAGACGTTAGCATCGACCTTTCCCACTCCTGGCAAGAGAAGTGCAGACGCCACGACCAGGGTCATTGTTACACTGCTAGAAGAAACAAGAAGAAACACAACGGGACGAAACAAAAAAATTTGCCGCCAGAGCACAGACGCAGGTGGCTGATTTTGTCGCAAGGGATGACTTACCGGATCATACAATGTCTTGATCTGCTTCATGAGACCAATCATGGTTTCGTTACGGCTGTAGCCAATATAATTCTTCTTCGCCAGGCCTAACCCGTGTTCTGCACTGATGCTGCCTTGCCGTTTTTCGATCCATTCGTAAACATAGGGCTCCAATACCTTTTCAACCTCCTTGTCGTACCGCCTAATGGCAATGTTGAGGTGGAGATTTGAGTCACCCATGTGGCCGTAACCAAGAACGTCCACAACGGGATGGTCATCCGTCTCGCCAAGGAGACCAGCCTCAGAAAGCCTTGCCTTGACATCATGAACGATCAAGTACATGTCCGACAGCGGGATCGAAACGTCATACTTGTACGTCCCACCCCAGTGGCCAATACACTCTGTGATGCCTTCCCGCCAGCTCCACAGCGTCTTGATCTGGGTAGCATCCTGGGCAACCACGCCATCGGCAATGACTTCGTTTGACATGACATCTTCCAGGAACTTCTCCAGCTTCTCGTAGTCGTGCTCACTGTTGGAGCCGCTGGTCTCGATGAGGCAGTAAAAGGGGTAGTCGTTTTCCAACGGCTTCGTCCCACCACGCACTTGATGAACGATACGTTGGCTGGTTCCGTCCATGAGTTCAAAGGCCGAGAGAATCTCTGACAGCTGCAGCTTGGCCTCGCGGAATGCCTTTTGTGCTTTTTCGTAAGACTCAATACCAAACAGGGCGACGTTTACCGCGGGCGAGCGCTGGGCGCACTGCACGACCAGCTTGGTGATTATTCCCAGCGTACCCTCAGCACCAATAAACAGCTGCTTCAGATCGTAGCCCGTGTTGTTCTTGCGCAGGGTGCACATGTCGTTCATGATGGTGCCATCCGGGAGGACGGCCTCTATGCCCAGGACGCTGCCGTGAAGACTGCCATAGCGCAACAGCCGCAAGCCCCCGGCATTCGTCGACACGTTCCCGCCAACATGACACGAGCCCTTGGCCCCCAGATCCAGGGGAAAGATGTAGCCCCGTTCAGCAACATGCTGATCTGCGACCTCTAGGATGCAACCCGCGTCCAGCACAAGTGAGCCACTCATCTCATCAAACGAATGGATCGTGTTCATCCTCCCCATGCTAATGACAATCTCATCAAAGACTGGGATGGAACCGCCCACCAGCCCGGTATTGCCGCCTTGCGGTACCACGGCCAGCATGTTCTCGTTGCAGTACCGGAGGATCTTGCTGACTTCCTCGGTTGACCCTGGCTTCAAGACCAGCCGGCACTGGCCCTTGTACTTGTGCATCCAATCCTCGTTGAAGGGCTCAATGTCGGCGGCAGCATCGGCATTGATGCCGTCAATGACGGCCGAGTCCTGCCCGAGAAGTTGCTTGAAGTAGGCCACATGCTCGGGAGTCAGCTGGGAAAACCTAGAGTCTCTTGTCAAGCCAGGGTACGAATCAGCCGTAAGCTTCGCGGCACGACTAGCTGAAGTGCTGGAAAATGACCTCGATCCCAAGCAACGAGTCTGTGGTATGATTGATGAGCGGCAGGCCGAGGAAAGACGAGCTGCGGCCTTGGGAAGACCACGGCTGGCCGCTGGGGCCACGAGACCCGAGACGTGGCTGCAGCTTCCATTGGCAACGCCCCGGAGGAGCCTCGCGCGTGTTGCCATGGCTGGATTGCGGCTGCAATGCGGTGGTGCTGAAGGCCTTGCACTCGAGTGCGATGAGGAAATGAAATTGGCTGGTCGATTGCTCAAGTCAAGACGGGCCGAGGAAGACGGTCGGTGCCGGAACGAAAGACGAAGAGGGGCAGGATCACAGGAACCAGGCAGGCTGTGTTGAGGTGTGCCGATGGAAAGTAAAGGCGCTCGAGATGTGACAAAAATACGAGCCCATTGAATTGCGGAATCTGCACATGGACGGTGGATGAAGGATGGAGCAGTCGCAGCAAAATCCACTTCGACTGCGTACAGAGTGAATCTCCATTGCGCTGGCAAATCTTTTTTGCTGAAGAGCTTCATTTGCTCTCGAGTGGATCCCGTCGCCGCAAACCTCCGACTCCGGCCTACCTTCGTCCATACAATCATACAAAGCCAGTACGGTCAAGATTCTTTACCTCGATCCCTGGGAAACATGCCTTCACAAGCGTTTAAATTGTTCACTGATTCCATTCTCTCATCCTCAACCGCCCCCAACCATGTAGTGCCTCACGATGCAATCTGCCAGCCAGGGCACCCAAGAATCTAGATGGCAGCGGTCCATATGTTGGAGGCCATAGAGGTTCGCCGACAGTTAATATGGTCCATGGCATGGACCCAAGCATCATCAAGGCACTTTGTACAGACTCCATCCTGCGTGCGACGCCGCGCAAAGAGCGACAAAGCTGGCGGTCCGCATACACCAACCTCTACTGTACCCGGCGTCCGACTTTTCGACACCAGGGTCTGGAACTTGAGCCGCAGTTTTCCAGCATACGTACGCTCCGTTCAAATCCCGTCATCTCACATCCAATCTCTGGTGTCCCTCAATCGCCATTCATCGCTCGCATTGGGTATCCAAAACAGGGAAATCACATAGCTATCCTAGTCCGTTTTGCTCTACCCAAGTATTTCCAATACCCAATCAAAACCAAGTGTAACCTCTCCAATAAACAAGACACGGGCGTACAGTCAACTATTGATATACAAAACGTGCCAGGAACAAACAAAGTCTATTATCGCCTGCCTATCGCCAGTTACCCAGGAAAACCATTTGCTTTGGGACTCTTCCGCGGATTCGTGTCGCCCAGGTTAGTACGGTCCTGTAGAACTCCACTGGGCACATCATCCCGTGTCCCCTCCACGTCGATCATCTTCTCCATGAATGAAATGTAATCAAACTGGGGCTGTCCGCGGTCTTGAGACATGTCGGGACCCTTGTGAGGGGGCATCATCTCGACAAGTTTATCAATGACCTCGTCAGGGACCAGACTATGCCGCAGGTCCATCTCCGTGACGTATGGTTTGCCGTCGGCAACTTCACGGAATGACTGGAACACTTGCTCCGCAGTGTTTTGATCCTCCGTGACGTCCACCATGAATCGAATAAATTGTTCAAATGTTACCTCATCTCGCCCGCCGGACGTCTCCAGGAAGTAGTCATGCATCTCTTCCTCGGAAAATACCAGCCCAAGAGAGGCAAGCGCAGCACCAAACTCAATCTCATGGAGAGAATTCGAGTCATCTCTGTCAAAATGACGAAAAACACTTTCAAACTCCTCCAACTGGATAGGCGTCAGGTTGGTCATATTTCGAGCGACCATTTGGTTCTCCAGGAATGCCAGCTTCTTTTGTACTGATGATTTGACGAGTCCCAGCTCATATGCTAATTCATCATATGTATATGTTG